GGTTCTAGGACTTCCTTATAAGTCTAGAACCTTTTAGCTCTTTGACCACTTTTCTTCTCCTAGGTTTTAAAACGTTCATCACTACTTTATTCTCATGAACCTCATCTTATTCTCTCTTCCAAGAGATTCACGTATCAATTTTCAAGGCACATTCTCAAGAATCTCCTCCTTGACTTGAAAACTTAAATCCACTCCCCTTGATTCAAGCACTCCAAGCTCCTCCTTGACCCCAACTCTCTTATGCCATTTGCAAATTACACCACACAATATATCCTAGTTTGAGATGGTTCCTAGCATAAGATAGAATGAAAAAGAACATACACTAGGTGATCCATTTAAAATCATCAAGCCAAGTTGTGATTCAAGGAGGAATTCTCACTTCTCCTTGAACCATCATCGAACTCCACTACATCATTGAAGCTCACCACATCATAGCTCTCTAGCCCCTTTTTCTTCTCCTAGGTTCCAAAACCTTCCACCAAGATTCTAAAGCCTTCGTGACTACTTTCTTCTCATGATTCTTATCTTGTTCTTTCTTTCAAGGGCTTCAAGTATCAATTTTCAAGGCACATTCTCAATAGAAATAGATTTCCTTTATCAAAATTTTGGGCATGTGTGAAGTTTCTAAGTTGCACAATGTCGGTATTACCTCACTTTATTTGTAGTTATTACGTTTATTTATTTTTAGTTGTCACACTTATTAAAATGATTGAATTATAAAAAAGATTTAGATTTCTCCTATTAGAAAGAGAAAAATGAAATAGAAAAAGAGAATCAAATGGAGGATTTATGATGGCAATAGTACAAAGGGTATTTCGACTCCTTAAGCATTAAAGTTAATGAAAAAGAATTAGAGATATAATGTTAAGGAGTTGTGGCACTTATGTTTTGACCTAAAGATTTCTAATATAAACAATGGGAGATAAAAGGAAAGTAGGGTAAAAAGAGAATTATAATTATAAATTGAGATATAAAGAGCGACTAATAAAGAAAGATATAGAAAGAAGGATAATGGAGAATGGAGAATAATAACACACAAATTATTAATATGGAAAATGATTGGTGCACCATTAGATTTAACACATTTTACAACATAGTCATTAAGAAATTATTATTTTCAAATTTGAATTCAAGGCGGAAAAAATTTCACTTATAAAATTTAATGTAAAAACCGGTGGGTGTTGGTAGCTATATTGAATTGAAAGGTATGCAAATCATTACCTTGTTAATATATATAGGGAAAGTGCAAGCAAGTGTAGGATGAAAAAGATAAATATTATGATAAAACATAAGGGTAATTCAAAAAATTGAGTCCCAAGAAAAGTAATGAAATGTGGAATAGAGGTAAGTTAAAATGTACTAAGAAATGAATACTAAGAAGTTGCGTTTTTTAAGTTTTGATATAAAAATTTTTTAATATAGAGAAGGAGAAAGAAAAATATTGGGGAAAAAGAGATACACAATGATATCCAAGGAAAAACACAAAAGGAATAAGAGAGATGAAATGATAATGAGAGAAAAAATAATAACTAATTAAATATTAATATAGAGATGGAAAGAGAAGGGAATATACTATAGAGAGATTAATATAAAGATAGAATGTAAGAGGAGAGGCTAAGAGATGGAGTTACAAGAAAAATCAATAAGAGATGAAGTAAATGTAAGTAAAAAAGTATCAAGAAAAAAATTGCTAATAAGCTACACATTTGATATTTTGACTTAAAATATTTTAAAAATAGACAACATGCAAGAGAGATAAATTATAGTCAAAATAGAAATATATAATGATATATAGAGATGCTAGGAACAAATAAAAAGAGCAATATAAAACAAGAATAAATTAAGAGGGAAAGAATAATAAAAATAAAGAAAATAATTGATATATCCTTCGATTTAACACATTTGACAACATTCACCAATTTAGCCATTAAAGTCTATACCTTTCAATTTTCTCACCTTAAATTCAAATTCAAAAATAATAATTTCATAATAAGTATATTGCTTAGTATGTTAAAAGGGAAGGTATCTGTGTCAATCTCCTAAAAATAAATTACTAATCTAAAGAAGGAGAGAGATGGTAAATGTAGGGTAGAGAAATAAATACAATAACAAATTATTGAGTAGGAAGCTAATAGATGGAGTCACAATAAAAATAATTGGAGAAGTGAACGAAATTGGAAAAGAACTAAGAGAATAATACTAAAAAATTGTGCTTTTTATGTTTTGACATAAAACTTTTCTAATAAAAACATATTAATGAAAATATAAAAATATATATTTAGAGTGTACTTAACAATTGACACTTGTAAAATTTTGGGCTTCAAAGTCATATTTTTTACAAATAATTTTACAAATGTTCATTTTATTAATTATCTAGTTTTTGATGATTAAAGATTTGATGATTAAATGGAGAGAATTAGAAGAAAAGGACTAAAATACAAAGAGTCAAAAGATAAAAGTTTAAAGATCAAATTTATAAGTTTGAAGGTTTAAGTAAGATTTTCTCCATTTTTAATAAATGAGCAAAGTGTGTGAAGTCAAAGGTCAAAAAGGGCGACAGATGCAATAGTGGTTTTCCTCCCTATTTCCAAGTTCGAAGGTCACCACAGGCGTGAGGGATCACATGTAGAAACTGGAAAAAAAAAAGGGTAAAAAAATAAGATATATAATGATAAGTAGAGATGCAAGAAATGTCTAACAAATAATAATAGAAATGGAAATATAATACTTAGGGTAGAGAAAATAAATATAATAATAAGAAATGTTGAAGAGAAGGTTGAGAGATGGAGTCTCATTAAAAATTAATGAAATATTAAATAAGTGATTAAGGAAGAATAATATAAAAAGTAAAATAAGAGAGGTAAAATAATAACACTAAAAAAAAAAGAAGAGGGTATTTCCCAACGCTTTGGAGCGCCCCTACCAAAATTACCACCGCCTTTGAAAGTGCTACTCGAGTGTCTATGGGTGCGTCTGAGATTGTAATTGGGGATTATTTCATGTAACTGTAAAACGTTTTTAGATATATTTGTATTTGATAATTTTTTTTAGATTATTTTTTAAAAAGTTATAAAAAATCATAATAAATTTACAAAATTTTATATATAAAATCAGAAACCTCATTTTGAAGTTTTGTGATTGTGACTTTTATAAAAAATATTTAAAATTTAATATAATTATAAAATTACCAATTAAAACTCAATTTCATATAATTTAATTACATCATAATTTGTAATATTTTAATAATGATAACAAATTTAAAAAACCTAAATTATTAAAAAAGTAAATATTATTTATTTAAACAATTATATATTTCACAATATTTTTAAAATTTTAATTACTAATTAATAAAATTTATCATATTTCATCCATAATGCTATTAAAAAATAAATAACCAAATACCAAAATAACTTTCAACCACAGTTACAGCACAGCACAGCACAACATAGTTCAATATAGCCACAACTATAGCCACATCACTTCACAGCAATCTCAAACACACCTTATGAGTGTGTTTGGTATTGTGGTTAGGAGTTTTTTTGTGTAACTGTACAGTGCTTTTAGATATTTATGTGTCTGGTAATTTTTTTTTCAAACTACTTTTTCTAAAAGAAATAGAAAGCTACAGCAGATCTATAGTAATTTTATATATAAAACCAAAAGCCTCATTTTGAAACTTTTTCACTACGGTTTTAATAAAAAACACCTAATATTTAATATAATTACAAAATTACCCATTAAAACCCAATTTCATATAATTTAATTACATCATAATTTATAATATTTTATTAATGATAACAAATCTAAAACCCTAAATGATTAAAAAATAGTAAATATTATCTATTTTAATAATTATATATTTTATAATATTTTTAAAATTTTAATTAATAATTAATAAAATCTATCATATTTCATATATAATACTTTTAAAAAATAAATAACAAATACCAAAATAA